ATATATATATATATGCATATACATACTTCCCTCTGTCTGTTCGTCTGCGCCATTTGTTATCTTAACGCTCAGTCGTTTTTCTTTATTTTCTCGTTTCGTTCGGTTTGTTTTGTTAATTATTTTGCTTGGTATCTTGTTGTATCATTTATTATTTATTTATTTGTTGTTTTATTCGTTGTTTCTTCTATTTGTTTTTCAGGTCTTACGCCTCCCCGTTGTGCTACACGCGGTGCCGGCCTTCTGCACACAACTCGCCAGGCGTAAGCGTTACAATGCAGCCGCAGCAACAACAGCAGCAACAGCAGCAGCAACTGCAGCAGCAACTGCAGCAGCAGCCCGAGCAACAGCTGCAGCAGTAGTAGGAGCTGCAGCATGCGTATGCCAGTACTATTCCTCCTGTGTGTTGTTTTGCGTTTTGCGTTGCTGTTGTTGATTGACGGTGAGTTATATTTGTTTTGATTTGTTTGCTGCTTAGATGTTAGCCAGACGGTGGCAATGCGGCTGCTGTGGGGCCGCCCTGCTGAATTAATTCCTCCAGAGGCGGTGCGAGCTGTTGCTGCGACGACTGCACTCTGTCATTTTGTCGCAACAATGGTGATGGTTATTTGTTTAATTGCAGGGCTCGTTGCATGCAGGTAAGCAGACATAGACATTCCATTTGTACGTTCATATCCAGCAAAAGAAACCCTTTTTCTTCCTTTTCTGCTGCTTTGCAGTCGCGCTGTAGAGATAAAGTCCGGCTACTCCTGCTGCTGCTGCTGTCCATGCTGCTGCTGCTGGTTTTTGCTGCTTTGTGATGTATGCAGGCGATTGTATCTGCGCGTTATAGCAGCAGAGGAGTTCTCCACAAGCCAGGCGAAGCGGCCCCTTCGTTTGTTGTTTTCGTATGATGATCTGTTTCAGGAAGAACAAACAGAAGGTGGGAGAAGAAAAATAAAATGAAAAGAAGAATAACAAATGCAGAAACAATTTTTTTTATACTCCGATTTTCCTGCAGAGCCGTCCATTTCAAGTTTTGCATTTTGTTGGTTTCTTTTGTTTTTTTGTACAATAAATTAAGTATATATGTTTAATATATATTATATTCAATAATATTTATTTTTAGTCTGAATTATACGCAAATATGTACTTCTTTTCTGCTTGTTTCTGTACTTGTGCCGGCAGACTCTTCATCACTCCTTGAGCCTGAAGATCAAGCGTGAACATCCCATTGGGGTGTATAGGCAGCTCGGCTTTGTTTGCGTGGTGTTCTTTCTTCTTTATGTTCTCGAGTTATACTTTTTAAAGGAAATACTCTTATTCTTTGTTGTGGTACTTAAGAATGAAGCGCAAATTTGCTCTTCTTCTCTCAGTTGGAGCGGTGCTGCAACTCAATTTCGCTGTCTGTTCGCCTCTTCCCTTTGCTAGTGGGTTTGATGTTTGTTTCTAACATTAAAAAGCAAAAACTATATCTTTCTTCTTCATTCTTTTTTCTCTTTATTCCCGACGAAGTCGTGCGGGAGCTGGAATTGCGGCTCGACAAGCAATATGGAGGTGATGCCATCTCTTGAATTATTCTTTTTTTTTTCATATCTTGTAAAAACTAATTCTTCGTCTTTAACTCGCGGACTTGTTTGCAACAGCGCCGGCGGTGTCTTATTTCAGGTAGATATTCTATATTTGCTGATGTTTTATATTATTGCAAATATTTATTTTTTCTCGTTGTTTCACTCACGCAGAAAAATGCTGAAAGAGTTCGACTCCGCGTAGGCATCGCCACTTGCATACCATTTAAAAATGCTGTTGCATGCAGATGCTTTCTAGACCCGCACAGCTGAGTGGAGAGGAAGAAGAGGCAATAAAGGTAATAATAATATTATTATGCTTGCAGATGTTCTTGTACGAGTAGAGTACGTACACCGCAACAAGCAAAATGAAACAAAATATATCTTTCTTTTATTCATCTTGTCAACAGAAGACACTCACCACGCACTTCGGCGAGGAAGTCTACGCTCAATATCAACAACTAAACAGCCAGGTGCGCCGCTGCAGATATTAGTAGACAATCAAATAAAGAAAAGCAAACAAATAAAGAAAAACAAACAAATAAATAAATATAAACAACTAAACAAAGAAAAATGAACAATCATAACCAAATAGAGGACAACCAACAAAAAAACAATAGACAAACGAAGGGGATTAAATGAATAAATAAAAATAAGTAAACAAGCAGAGAGAAACAAACAAACAACAAATAAACAAACATATCAACAAATAATCAAATAAACAAAGAAGCAAAAAAACAAACAAAAGACGAAAAAACAATCAAATGAAAAGGCAAAGAAAATACAAACAAAACTTTTCCTTCAAAGGAGTCAACAAAACCCAATAAACAAACAAACAAACAAAGAGCATAAAATAAAGAATTAAACAAGCAAACAAACAAACAAACAGCATTAAATAAAGAATTAAATAAAAAATAAATTTAAAGTTTAATTTATTTTACTCGCATAATTCAGGCGGCAAAAGACGAAGAGACTCAACTGGTGCAAAATGTAATACGACTAATAAAACAACAATTTTATACGGTAAGGAGTTATAAACAATTATAATTAATTAATTATATATTAATTATATATATTTAATTAATTCTATTTAATTTATTTGTTGTTTAGCTAGGACAAATTCAAGCAAAAGATTTGCGTCCGCAGTGGAGTCGATTTCTCTCTTTGGCGGTTTTATTCAAACAAATGAAAGTAAAAATTGTTTGTTTATTTTATTTTTTTATTTTATTTGTTTATTTTACTTGTTTATTTTACTTGTTTATTTTACTTGTTTATTCTATTTGCTTATTCTATTTGTTTATTTTATTTGTTTATCTTATTTGTTTGTTTTATTTGTTTATTTTATTTAATTATTTTATTTGTTTATCTTATTTAATTTTTTTATTTGTTTATTTTATTTGTTTATTTTATTTGTTTATTTTATTTGTTTACTTTATTTGTTTATTTCGTTTGGTTTGTTTGTTCTGCTACTTTATTTGCTTATTTTATGTGTTTTTCTTCTGGTTTGGTTGCTATATTCTATTTGTTTGTTCTATTATTTTGTTTGCTTACTTCTTTATATTTGTTTCGTTTACTCTATTTACCTGTTTATTTTATTTTTTTTTTCTTTGCTTTGGTTTATTTGTTTGTTTTATTCTATTAGCTTATCCCATTTAACTTGTTTATTATTAGTAAATATTACACTAATATATGTATCGATCTAATTGATTTGTTTTGTTTTATTTTATAAATTGTACGAATTTATAATTAATTTAATGAATTAATTTATTTTAATTAATCTCTCTCTTTTTATTTTCTTTTACATCGCCTGGGCCCCTTCTTCTTTTTTCTATCGACAGCCATCTGCAAGAGGTGCGTTTGTTCGTGTCATTGTCTTCATCTCTGTTGCATTAATAGATGTAAAAATAAATAAAAGTCTATATATTCTATTAAGTATAATGCTGTTGAAATGAATTAATTAATTTATTTTCTTTTTGCTTACAAATAAATAAATTTATTTATTTAATTTATTTATTTCATTAAAATGAATTAACTTATTTGTTTATTTTATTTTCTTTAAATTAAATTAATTTATTTATATATTTTATTTATTTCTTACAGACGTCCCTTGCGAAGACGCGGCCTCCTGCCGCAAACTCGAGGTGAGGCGACACCGCAACAACCCCGTACAAACAGAAGCAGCAGTAGAAAGATAAAACTAAATAATAAGGTATTTAAATAAATAAACAGATATAAATAGATAATTAAAAATTCAAGCAAATATAAATTGATAATTATGAAGATAAAAGGACATTAATAGGTATTAAAGCACTTAAATTATAAAATATTTAAGCAGATGTGAATAGATAAGATTACAAATTACAACATTTATTAGTAAATAATAAGACAATGCAAGACCTATTAATTAATAAAGAAGAAAATAAAAGAAGAGGTGCTGGTTAAAACAAACAAAACAGAAAAATGCAGCAATCGACGCGTTGGGTTTAAAGACAGCTAATAAATTAAATAAATTAAATAATAAGTTTTATAATAATATTAATTTCATACACCAGCCAGTGGTAACCCCTGTAATTGTATAATATAGAATGCATATAAATATATATACATATATATCTATATGTATATTACAAGCATCCGCACTTACACATATACATATATATATATATATATATATATGTGTATGTATGTATATATGTATGTGTATATATATGT